ACCTACCCACCGACCCACCGACCCACCTACCCACCTACCCACCTACCCACCTACCCACCTACCCACCTACCCACCTACCCACCTACCCACCTACCCACCTACCCACCCACCCACCCACCCACCGACCGACCTACCTACCTACCTACCTACCTACATACATACATACATACATACATACATACACACAACTAACTTTTGCATTGGTTGGTGGGTTGATGGATTGATTCGTTGGTTGGTTGGTGGATTGATTGATTGATTGATTGATTGATTGATTGATTGATGAGTTAATTACGCAATTACTTACTGACTTAATGAACTGATGAACTAACCAATGAAATAATGAAAAAAATGAATTTATTTATGCATTATTTATGCATTATTTATGTATATATATATACACACACACAAACATTTTTGTTGCACCGTTTCCATATCCAGCTGGATCGCAAGGGTTGCTTTAGACTACGGTCGTGGGATTGGACCTTCAGTATGCCGCTTGTATCAAGCGGGTTCCTGTGTAGTTCGTGAAGTGTTGACAGCACTGGCCATGCAAGATCCTGAGAGAACACCTGCCTTGGTTGTGTTGGGCAACCCATAGATAATGAAAGCATGTTTGTGCCGGCAAGTTTGGCCTACACCAACACAGAGAAAGCTGGGACTGCACATGGTTTCTTGTTTTGCGCCCTCCGAATGTCCAACACAGACGTCTCCGGCGCAAGGCAGTTTGACAAGCCGCTTATGACCAGGCGAAGACAACGAAGGACAGAGAATGTTGGACGGGGAGCGCGAACTCGCGGATCGAGGGGACTGCCCTGCCCTTGGCCCAAGCCCCCAGCAACAGAGAGAGAAAGAGAGAGACAGAGGTCTCTTCGGCCCCTATTCAAAACAACCAGCTTGGCAACTCTCTCTTAAGAAGTCTTCTTCTACCGGGCATGGGCGCTTTGGCCGCCCGCATCTGCGGGCCTTTGGAGGCGTATGAAAGCCCAAGATGGTTTGTTGACTGACACTGCAAGTTACAGGCTTGTTCGGCATGTGTTTTCACTCCTGTGCCATCTTGTCAAGGATACATGCATGGCTTTCCCCCGGATTCAAGGTAACGGGATCTAGGCATGGAAACAGGGTTACGACAAATATGTCCTACATCACTCCGACAGAGTAGGATCAAAGATCGTGCACAAACCACAACATTGCACATTCCATTCCTCGTCCGAACTGGTGTGGGCGCGCAGCAAGGCTCAGCAGTTTCTACCAGAGCTCCGAATCAAGCACGGCATCGACTAGAAAATAGCATATTTGCAACAGTATCTGGACATCAAACACGCAAACTGGCCCACTGATGCTGAGACCTTGGACCTTACAACGGCAGGTCCTGCATGTTTTGAGGGACATCCACCAAAAAAAGGCAACGTAAGCTAGTCAACGGAAAACACGATCAGAAACAGAAGGAAGTTTTTCGGTGCTTCAAGGCGAGGGTGAATTTTCAGGCCTTCCCCGACCGCGCCTGACAGAGTACAAACGCATGGCACTGCAGTGTGAGGTTTCGGTCCGGGCTTCTAGGACAAAAAGCACCTACAACAGCACCTATGCCCATTTGGCCCAGTAGATCACTCGGCATTTCTGTCTTGACCTCCGCGCGCCTTGCGGGCGGGCCTTCGGGGTAGCCCGCAGCCCCTACACCCCACCCCTCGCAAGCAAACGAGCGACATAGAGAGAGAGAGAGAGAGAGAGAGAGAGATTTCCTCCTGGGGGACCAGAGAACAGTAGGAAGCAGGGGCCACAAATACAGAGCGAAGATGCCAATAGGGGGGAACTAGTCGTGATTATTCCAACGGCCTTGATCGTAACCCAGGGGGCCGAGGGGGTATGCCTTCGTTCTCTGCAAGCTGTTGTCCACGTCCTGGGAAAGTCCTGTGATGTTGTTGCTTTCCATAAACCCTCGGCACCCCAACAACCATACCGCTTTCATGGCCTTGGGGGAGTATCCTGCTACAAGACTAGTGGCCGCTGCTCGACCAAGTGGGAAACACCCCGCCAACCTCCCTAACCGAAAGGGGGAGACAATAGTAACATACTTTCTGCGTGCACTGTCCCCACGACTCAGGCCAACAGGCAGAGGGAGTTGATTTTGTTACCGTTTGGAAACGGGGTATGGGCAGTTATGCTACAGCCTTTTTGTGCGTCGGCCGGAGCCTCAGTTTGCAGTTGCAGAGTTTGTGGCGTTTAGGGGGGAATGTGTTGCTTAGTGAGTGGTGCGTTCTGAGTGCTGAAGTGGTGTGTTCGGGGCAACTGCAAAGCAAATGAAGTGGAGGACAGCGGGGGGACCCCAGCATGTGGTCAATCTGTGTTCTAGCGCTGTTTGCCGAGAAGATGGGGGAACCTCGAGGGCAGAGTTTGTATAGCCGAGCCACCCCAGGGGAAAAACCCCGGGCGGATTTCAAAACCCCGCCAGGACTCGCGGGTGCGCGTGCGCGCGCGGAGGGGTAGGGTTCGCCTTGCCTCTCCTGTCCCGGTAGAGAGAGAGAGAGAGAGAGAGAGAGAGAGAGAGAGAGAGAGAGAGGGGGGACTGCAGGTAGTTTTCAAAGTGGTCTTCGACTTGGTGTTAGTGCAGATCGCTTTCAGATGAGACTAAACCTGCAATCTCACAAATCAACTCAACCTGTCGGGGGATTATCTATATGTTGTAGTTCTATCTGTTTTCCCTTTCAAACAAATCCCAGCGGCAGAAGATTGGGTGTCCCAAAGTAGCACTGAAAACATGTCTAGTCGGGGGAAACGTACAGTAGCCCTCGACTTGCATGTACCTTTTCACACCCCCTGAAAGCCCCGAGAAACTTGGGGGGCCTAATAGGCCGGGGGGTCTAACCGACTCCCCATGCCCTGGAGAAGAGAGAGAGAGAGAGAGAGCAACCTCTGCCCACAGACCTGGCGAAAGAAAGAGAGTTCCGCCGTTTCCAACCGCTGGGGGAAACAGTCCGCCCACTGGCCCCAATGACTCATAGTCCAAAGAGCGTGGTGCCTAATAAAGGCAGGGGTCTGCGAGTCTGACCTGCACCCGAAGGAAGGAAGGAAGAGTCGCCGTTTGTTTCCTCCACAAACTCGCGATCTCGTTTTGGAATGGATTGATGTTTACGGGCTGTCTAGGGCTGTTTGAAGGCGACTTCAGTCCGTGTTCTTTTGCGCCTGGCAGGCGCCGGTAGTTTTCGGGGATGTGTTCAACACAGGCCCACCACGAAATCTTGTATCATACTTGGCCCCAGTGGCCCTAATCCCACGACCTCCGACCTATCCAATGGGAGAAGCGTAGAGAGACGCCGAACCCCAACAATTTTTTTTATCTCCGACTTCGATCCACGGGGAGTGAGTCGTAGAGAGTGGTGAAACCCCCCAAAGGGCTTGTCCCCTCTTTCCGTCCGACCCCATTCGATCCATAGGGGCTGCGCGAAACGTGGTCCCTACCACATCCAAAAGTGCCCTGCATTTTTGCTACAGCTTTTGTATTCGCTTGCAGGTTTCAGGCGGGGGGTTGGCTGTCGAGGTTCTGTTCGGAGTGATGCGGGGAGGCAGGTCAGGTGGGGATCAGTTGCCGTACTTCAAGGCCCTCAGGCCCTGGCCTTGGAGTGGAGCTCCCATAGACTTTAGTTTGTTTGTCATCCAATAGTGTCCTCTTTGCTTCCGAACAGTGTTCCTGCGGCCCGGACAGTTGGGGAGTATACAGATGACTCAAGTGGCACCTGACGGTTTTTTTTTTTGCGGTGAGGGTTTAGGAGGGGTGTTCTTGCGGGGGTTCATTACAGGCACACTTGCGGGAACCTGCACTACTCCCACCCCGAAAGGGGCCTTTCAGGCGTACCGACGCTCGCCTTGAGGGGGTAGGCCTTCGGGCCAAGGTGCTTGCACCCAAGCAAGCAAGCAAGCGCCGGACCCCACTGCCTTAAGTTCGCCTGCGGGGATGCCTTCGCCCGCAGAAAGTCCAGGAGCAACGCAAGCAAATGAAGCAAGGGAGACCGAGAGACATTTTGTGCCAGAAGAACATGCCATGTGCTGCATGAGGAGGAGGAAGAGGCCAACACGATCGGTTCACCAACCTAGATGTTTGGTGCAAAAGACCGTGAATCGGATCCCCATTCAAGAGATCAGGTCAAGGACTACAAGCGCCAAAACTCCAGGTGGATCGATGATGAAGAGTCGGAAGACAGCTTCTTGTCAACTTTTGGACTCACTCAAAGCCCTTTTTGCTGGATGGAGTTGACCATACGCAGAGCCCTTTGGAGCCAGGTCCAATCTTTTTGCTGATGTTGGATGTTGTTCCCGCTGTGGTCATCATGATTAGTGCCGTCGTGGCTGGCCTCAGTGCAGATTTGGACGATGAGCACAGCAACATTGTCTGGGAGGCCGATCCTAAATTTTGTGACCAACTGCAAAAATGCAGGACAGTTCTGCTTTACGGGGTGAGGCGTAAGCGACGAGTATCCTCTCGGTCCAGGTGTAGGTGGAGATACATGTAGCTGCGGCCTCCAGATGCGAGGTGTTGGAAATTTTCTTCACGGCCTTCTTCGTTGGCGAAATTTTGATCAAGATGCGTGTGTTCGGCCTGCGCGAGTTCCTCATGGGCGGGGATTGGTACTGGAGTTGGTTCGATACTTGGAAAGCATGGAGCATGGCAAATCCAAAGCAGACAGCCGACCATTGGATTTCGGTGCTTGTCCTCGGCAGTCAGCTAGCGAAGGACATCCTTTGTGTGGTTCTTGCATTCGTGGATCTTGCGGTCACCTACACAACACCTGCCTCACAGCTCCCTGGCCTTGGAAGGTATGGCGGCAGAGTTTTTAGCATGCCGGGGGGCCTGCTTTGATCTCCTACTTCTGGGCAGAAGTTACGAAAGCCAGCAAAAGTCTAACGACGTTTCTTCTGTATCCCAGGGACTCGGACTCCGCATCGCTGGGCACACTGAAGATGCTGTGACTTGGCTTCGGGGCAAACTGGACAAAAGCCGGGAACAGTTCTAGATCACAGACTGTTCACCATCATCTGCTGCAGAGCCCCAACATCGCCCATAGATTTTGCTCTAAACCCCGGCCGTCACAGCTGCTGAAAGAGGCAGTCTATCAATGCTAAAAGCTGCCCAGGAAGCTGGCCAGATTGGGCCGGATCATCCGGCTTCTAAAATTCAAGATCTTCCAGGACCATGTCCCAACGCAATGGATGGTTGTAGAGCACTGTTGGACTGCGGTTTTGGGCCTTGCACAGGGCTCGCGACTTCGTCAGTTGCGCTCGGAAGATCATGCTCTGGAGCATCAGCTCGTACTGTCAGGAGCTGAAGCTCATGATCCAGGGCGTCTTTACGGGCCTTCGCGTTTTAACTTGGGCCGTGCCTTAGCTCAGAGGAAGCACTGCGTAGGGTTGACAGTGCGTCATTGCAAGTAGCTCCGAAGCCTGATCGCATGCACATGTTGGCCAATTTTCTGACTTCTGGGCACAGAGCGCAGGGTTCTGTTCCACGATTGCAAAATCATAACGACGACAAGGGTTTCCTTACAGCGACAGGCTTGATTTAAAGCACCTGAGCCCCAAAAAAACAACAACCATCTTGACAGCCACATGGTTCACCTCGCAAATATTCTGTGACACCCTGTTCTTGGACATGGACGTGGGGGAATCACGTTTACAGGCCTTGGAAAGCCAAACGCCCAGAAGGAGAGGAAAGTGGGGGGCAGAGTAAAGTCAATGGGATGCTTATGAGCCCTGGAAACATAAGACTCTTGCATCCGTTTACAGGGTTCTTGTCAAAGACGCGTGACAGGAATACATGCAGTAGGAAGTTCTAACAAAGCTGAAAGGACTCCAACATAGTCTTTGTTCGTCCTAGTCGTCCAAGAGTCTTCAAAGATCCCTCTGGGGCTTACGACTTGTGCAAAGTCGTCTTTACTGGGAGGAACGCAAGCAAACGCGCAGCAAACACACCAAAGATTGGATGCGGGTTCAGGGCTTCAGGCCAAGGCCCATGTGAGTAAAGTGGTCATTGTCATTGTGCTCGTTGTGATGCCGGGGGGTGTAGGGAGTTCGAACTCTTGCTTGTCACTCCGAGTACAGGCTGTCCCTGTCAGAATGGGGTCCAAAGTCGTAGTCACTGCAAGTACAGGTTGTTCTTGTTATGGTGAGTGCAAGTGTTACTGGCTCCTCTTCGTTGGTTGGGCTATGTTGGGCTGTAAGCTTGGAATGCAACCCAGGTGATCCTGCTTCTGGTGAGCATGTATTTGCTCGGGGTGCCTGGCCTTGTTGTGAACTGCTGGGGCCTGCCGGGGTATCAGAGTTGAGTGATTACCCGGATTTCTCGCCTGTGCAAATAGCGCGTCGTCGCCAATGAGTTCCCCTGCCAAAGTTGATAGCAGAGGTCTCAGACGTCACTATTGGCAATCGGATGTGTTCCTTCAAGAATGTCTTCAAGCTGGCTTGTATAGTAGATACTTCAGTCAGGGCATGTGCGCTGCCGCCCCATGCTCAAACTGTGTTCAAGAGTAGAGTTGAAAATTGACTTGAAAAGGGTGCTTGCAGATCGTGGCATGATGCACACCTGGCTGCGTGTGTTCTTTTTCATCGCCGACATCCACCAACGCCTCTTCAGAAAGTAGCGATGCTCATTCTACTTTTGTCATCTTGAGATATGTTCACTGTCACCGAAGGTGATCACGCGTACCTTGTTGGGGCAACATCCAGAGTTCCGCGACGTTCCTTCAGCAATGTTCACGTCATTCCGCTGCTTCTAAGCTTGATTTAGCGAGCCTGCTCATGCACCTGAGGGGAGGCATCTGCAGGCCCCTATGTACTTTTGGATCCGGATATCGCCCGGGCAAGACTCAAGAGTGAGACTTCGCCTGGCTTGTCCGAGTTGTGAGAGTGCAAGAGTAATTGAGGTGCCCTTTCCTGCCCTCCTGCCAGCCCTGCCAGCGATCCCTACAGTGGTGAGATTCATGCGTTTCGTTTGGTATTCGTTGCCATGTTAGTCTTTCTTTGCAGTGGGCGGGTTGTAATTCCGGTTTGATCACGACCAGTGTGGAAATTAACATGAGTATGCATGGACCTGCTGAGGTGTCACGGATGGCTGCACAGCCTACGATGGAACTCCGCTTATTGCGCGTCTTCGCACTGAAGAGAAGGATCGCCGCAAGATGCCATAGTTGCTTTGGCCTGAGGCTAAGGCGAGGCCTGGCAATATTGATTCTGCTTCCAAGTTCCACTGATCTTTGGAGGATCTTGGTGGCGTCATCATGATTGTGTACATTCTTTTGTTCCTGTTCGTTACCATTGGTATCTTCAACCTGATCATGGCCTCTCTGCTGCTGATGAGCGCAGATCCTTTTTTCTCAAAGCCGACTGCAGGGTGTGTCCGATTACTCTCTCTTGCAGAGTCGATAGAGGTCATGTTCGGTCTGACAGAACATTGTCTCCAGCTGGTGGTAGGATTCCCGTTCCTCCTGGACCCTCTGCAGCTTCCATTGCAGACTGCACATGTGCCGCATAACCTACAGCAGGGGTGACGATGAGTGCCTGGACTGAGGAGCCTGTTGTGTTGTTGCTTCTGTGTTTTCCACACCGCAGTCTTGATGTGGCGAAGGCTGTGTTTATCGACAATGTCACGGACGGCAGTACCAAGAAGCGGCAGCGACAGTTGGGTGCGACGCTTTGCTTCATCGAGCTTTCATACGCCGTAGAGTTCACCAGTTCGCACTGGGACAAGCATCGCTGGCCACGTCAGACGTCGCAAACATGCGGCAGGTGATGCGAAAGGGCCAGGTTATTTCCAAGCCAGTACTGTAGTCAGCAATTGAATATTCCGTGGCCCCAGCACGATGATGGTCTCCACGGAAGTCACCTGTGAGGGTTGCGATGGAGCCTTGCAGGAATGCACCGAAAACAGAATGGCTCATTTCTTCGGTTCTGCGAAGCTCAGCTGCACGAAGTGAGCGCCTGAGGGTTTTATAGTTTCCTCAGCGGCGAAGTTGCCACAGCAGGTATGTCAAGGGATTCTTCCGAAGCCTTGAAGGAAAGCCAGGGTTGCGAGTAAATCCTGCACAGGAAACATCATTTTGACCAAGATCCTGCACAAGGAAGCCGAGGAGGAGGCCTCGAAAGGTACAGTTAGGTGCCGCCTATGGCAGAAGCGGCGCACATGAAACCGTTCTAGACGGATGCGAGTCCGATGGCGCAATGATATGAATACTGGCAGCATCTGGCACCCAACAGCCACAGTAAGTTTGTTGTCAGCTGTAGCATCGGGCTGGCCTTGTCCAGGGATGCAGCTGTCTAAGTTTAAGACTTGTCCAGGCTTGGAATGACGACTATCACGCCCATGGTCGCCGGCCATCGAAAATCCTCAAGGAGAAGCTGGCGGCGCTTCAAGAGATGTAACTCTTCAAGTGATACCGTCAGGCTGATCCATGTCTTTGCACTGCCTGGGTTGATGAAGATGAGGTATGGATACAAGCCACATACCATTCACGAATACGAGCAGCTGTCGAATGAGATCCGCAAGGAGATGGCGCGGCGCGGCGTGGCCGCAAACGCTAGTTGCCTAACCCGCAAGCTGTTGAAAGCCCCATCGAACTACTTAATCGAGCCAGGCAATGTGGTGGTGACACGCGAGGAGTTCAACCATTGGCTATCCGGTGAGAAGGAGCTCATCACCACCTTGGATGACTCCGAGTGGCTCAGCTGCAGAACGGCAGAGTAGATGATGTTTCTACACAAGCCAACTGTTTCCCAACCGCGCTTGCTCTATAATCTTGTGTATGCAATGGCTTAGCTGCCATGTTGCTCGGGCATGTTAGAACTGGGAGGATCGATTTATCATGCAAGTCCGACCTGTTCGATGTCCTGGACGCGGACCTCAGTGGAGAATTGGAGTTTGAGGAGCCTTGCAGCTTCACCGTTTTTTTTTTCGAGTTCAAGCCTCGTGCAGCCTTGACCTGAAGTCGATTCCCTTGTAACTGATACGACGCAGCCTGGTTTCAATAAGTGCTTTTGCGAACCGTCAAAGCCAGTTCACCGTGAAACCTACAGTGTCACAGCAGTCGAGGATGCGTAGGCTTCATGCACAGCTCAATTTTCCGAAAGCACGGAGTGCGAGATTCGGGCAGTTTCCTGATTTAGTAATTTAGTATTCAGTAAGACCAGATGAGATGCTTCCATGCATGCAGGAGATGATAGACGGATTGCTCAAGTGCCGTGGTCCTGCTTCTAAAACGGACATCATTGCTGCTCCTTGGGTTGAAAAGCATTCACGAGACTTCAGAATTAGGCATGCCTTAACTTCGCCCAGGTCAGGCTCAAGACGGCACTGCTCGTCAAACTGATGACGCAGGTTTGCGAAAAGCTTGGAATCGACACTTGAACCCTTGGCGCGCCTGCGGCGTGACTAGGATTGATTTGAAACGGATTTGCTTGTTGCATTCTTGCCGCGCTGTTTGCACCTTGGCCCAGGCATGTTGAGTTCTCGCTGTATGAAGCGAAGGGCATTGATTGGCCAAAGCTCCGAGGTGTACCCTTGCCGCTAGGCCTGTTTTCCCGTGCGGCTCCGGCCTGCTAAGCAGGCAGGGCCGAGAAGAGTTGTTTTTATCAACACAGTGCAGAGCCAGCCGAAAGGCCATCAAACTGTACATGCTTGGGATCAAGCATTTAAGTTCCTTCATAAAATGCCCGATACTTAAATCACGGCCTGCGGCCTATTGGCTTTGCTGTGCGACGAACGACGCAGAACCTGTCCAGCAGGAGTGGCATGGCCTGCCCATTTCGTTTTCGCAAGTGTTGCATGATCATAAGGCCGCCTGGCTGTTGATGCAACATGCCATAAAACGGTCCACCCTGCTGGTTTATCTAGAGCTTGGCTCCTCATGCCTCCAGCTGGATGCCTTTCAAGCTGCCGGTTCCTATGGGCAAACGCAACCAATGGACCAACAGCCATCACAAGAAGGAGGCCTGAAAGGGATCTTGACTGCTCCCGAGCCCTCGATGTGAGGACCTCTGGCTTACGAGCATTGCTTGGAGAGCCCGAGTCTTCCAATAGTTCTCACCTATGCAAGGCCAATCCTGAACGTGCATACTGATGCATCTCTCTGAAGTGGGAGACTTGAAGCGTATCTTGGAAGCTCAAACGAGAAGTCTTCCGGCATCTGAGCCTGTACGAACACAATCTCCCACTTCAACTCACTTGAATAGGACAAGCAGGCGACCAGCCAGCTCTTGCAAGATTATGCAGAATTCTGGCCCTGGGGAGCAGAGGAGAATGGCCAACCGTCGCTGGGTGGCTTCCCTCGGACTCTGGACAGATGCAAGTTCCGTCATCGAAAATCGTTTCGCATTCTTCTCCAGAGGCATTTTGTTACGATGCCTTCTCTGCGATGTCTTCGCTGGAAAGTTGCTATGGCAACCAAGGTGCTCAGCGGCATCATTAAGGACTATGGCCGAAGTCACCAATGGACATCAGCCGTGTCTGGAACTTACCGTGGAAGGGCTTCAGCTGGGCATCACCGGCATATGAATGGGTGTTGCTACCCCCCCCCCCGCCGCCCCCCCGGTCTGTCCTCAAGCTTGCCCAACCCCTTCTCGAGACTAGCCAAGCCAAGCCAAGTGTCTGACTTGCGTTATGCTACTAGCTTGCCGCAACACGCACGCAACATCTTCGAATTCCTCAGTCGCTTCCCACAGCACACAGCTTTTGAACATGCGGTTCCTCAACAGCTTGCTGCAACACGGGATCCAACAAACTAGAGTTTTCCACCAGCTTGTCACGCAACACTTTGATTAGGGTAGTTTGGCTTTGGTTGATCTATTGTCGGGTTTTGTTTGATCCCGGGTTTTTGGTGGTTTTCTGAGCCGTCTATCTTTTTGATTCTCTAACCGGTCATACTTAAGGCTCGATGAGCCTGCGATTAGTGTAACCATGTAATCACAGCCTTGCATTCATGACTAGCGTTGTTAGTTAGGACTACTTGCCTTACTAGTCGTAGCAGGACGCCTACTATTGTTATTCCTACTACGACTGTTGCTGCTGCTGCTATAACTTGGTGCTTTGACTATCGTCAAAAATACGACGACTCTCACGAAGCCATTGCTACTACTACCATCACTACCTTTTCTACTGCCCATTCCTCTCCAAAATCGCAGCCAGTCTCTACTGCTCCTACTCTCTTCTGCTCCTGCTCCTGCTGCTGCTGCTGCTGCTGCTGCTACTGATACTGCTACTGCTACTCTTGGCGTGCTAGGTGGGTAACCACAACCACAGCAACAACAACAGCAACAACAACAACAACGACGACAAAGACAACGACAACGACAACAACAACAGCGACAACAACAGCGACAACAACAACAACAACTACTACAACAACAACAACAACAACTACTACTACTACTACTACTACGGGATTAGTATATATTTGACGCCGTGCTTTTCCTGC